TGGCGGTGGTGATGATGATGGTGATGATGGTGATGGTGATGATGGTGATATGATGATGATGATGGTGATGATGATGGTGATGATGGTGATGGTGATGATGATGATGGTGATGATGATGATAATGATGACGATGATGGTGATGGTGGTGGTGATGATGATGGTGATGGTGATGATGATGATGGTGGTGGTGGTGATGGTGATGGTGATGATGATGATAATGATGACGATGATGGTGATGGTGATGATGGTGATGGTGATGATGGTGATGATAATGATGATAAGATACTGTAGTGATGACCACCTAGAGGACAGTCATAGAAGTCAGGTGGACCTGTTCAGAGTCCAGCGCCTCCAGGTGGCTGTGGACCTTCAGTGTCTCTTCTCGGGGCTGGGCCTCCCTCCCCCTTCCTCTCCCCCACTTCGTGGTCAGCCCGGCCCCGCCGGGCCGCTGGTGGTGTGGATGAACGGGCCTCAGCCCTGGGACATTGGAGCCCCTGGGGAAGATGCATTTGGACCGCCAACTCCTCCTTTGCGCTTTTAGCTCATCTTTCTGCTTCCTTCCCGGGTCCGGCTGTGGAGGCCGCGCCTCGGTGTTGTGCTTCGTGGCAGGGGCGCCGGGCCGCGGGTCGCGCGTCCCTCCGTGCGCGGTGTCTGCTCGCGGTGAGCGTGCGCCCGGCGAGGGGAACCGGAGCTGGGAGACAGCGGGATTGCGAGATGGGCGTGGACGTGAATCCCGGGCCGGGGCTTGCTGTGATGTGCTCCGCCCCCGGGGCCCAGAGCCGTGTCTCAGACACACGCTTCCTGTCTCCAACAGGGCCAAGGTCCAGAAAGGCGTGAGCGTGGTCGGGGTGCGCGCCAGCAGCCCTGCCATCTGGGACGTCCGGAAGAGCACGGAGCCCGCGGGGAGGCACGCGCCGGCCGCCGTCCTCTGTGAGAAGACAGCCACGGCCTCGGAGAGCAGGTGAGTGCCACGGGCCGGCCGTGCAGGCAGACGCGTGCGGACCCACACACACCCGCGCAGACCCACGCACACCCACGCACACCCACGCAGACCCATGCATGCAGACCCGCGCGGACCATGCAGACCCACACACACCCGCGCACACCCGTGCAGACCCACGCATACCCACGCACACTCATGCACACCCACGCAGACCCATGCATGCAGACCCACGCGGACCGCGCTGACCCACGCACACCCACGCGGACCTACGTACACCCACGCGGACCCGCACAGTCACACAGACCCACGTGGACCGCGCAGACCCACACACACCCACGCCGCACACCCATGCACACCCATGCGGACCGCGCACATCCATGCACACACACAGACCCACGTGGACCCGTGCACACCCACGCACACACCCACATGGGCCCACGCAGACCCGCACACACCCGTGCACAACCACACACACCCATACAGATCTACGCACACCTGCACGAGGCCGGCTTTGCCTTCCCTGTGCCCTCGGACGGCCATGTCCCCACCGCTAGGGCTCGCTGTGCGTGGTCGTGTTGCGAGAGCTCACGGGGAGCTGCATGGGCTCCTCATCCAGGAACCGTGGGGCCGCACGGCCTCCCGACCCCAGGGCCGCCCTGCGGAGGTGGCCTTTCCACTCCAGCAAGACCGTGTCTCCTGCGCTCGGGTGAGCTGAGGCCCTGGAGCCCCTCCAAGGATGAGCTGTATTTGCAGGTGTTGAAAGCGGAGCACACGCCCGCTCTCCCTCGCACAGGGCATGTCTCGTGTTTTCCACGTGGATCTGAAGCTTTGTATGTGGGCTTCTGGTTTCGGATGGGACAGGAGACTTTCTGCTCTGGTGTTACAGGGAGCCATGAATCCTCTCAGAGAAATTAAAACCCGAGCCTGCCTCCTGCACCAGCCAGCTTCCCACACCTCATGTGTGGTTATGCGGGATTCTTAGTCTAGCCACACACACACTCACACATGCGCGCACACACACAGGCACACATGCATACACACATGCACACACACACACATGCACACACGCACACACGCGCGTACACACAGGCACACATGCATACACACATGCACACACATGCACATGCACACACACACACGCGTACACACAGGCACACATGCACACACACGCGTGCATGCACACACATGCGCACGCACACACACATTCTTTTTGTCCCTTTTGGTTTTTTTTCATGCTCTTTGTATTACTGAAAATTTAAAATTTAATGAAAGGATGAATCTAGGTGTGTTCACACCTTGCTCTGGGATACAGTTTCAAACTTGGTAGCTCAAGGTTCAGAGGATATGTGTTTGCTCCTGTGCTTCATTGCTGTCTGTTGATGGTGGTTGTGTTTTCCTTCTTGATTCATCACTGAGGAGCTTTTGAAACCAATTTGGGGTGGCTGGATTTCAGTTCGCTGCTGTGTTTTTCTGCTCAACATTAGTGCTGGAGAATTTGGGTCGTCTTCGGCTCTGGTGTGTGCTCTTTCTCTGGGGGCCGATAGTTGAGGATTGATTTTTCTTGAAGAGCAAATGAGAGGAGAGAAAGGAAGTCTGTAATTGAATCCTGCCCTGGATACAGGGAGGGGAGCTTGGAGAACTTACAGAGGGACACACGTAAATGATGTCTGCTCTAGAAATACAGTTAGGAAAGGACCTTCCATCCCGGTTAGAGACTGTTTCTGTGTTAGGTTCTGGCAAAAATTAAGATAGATGGACAGAGGTGTGCATGTGTGTAGGTACAACGGGCAGACACACGGGGGTGGACAGAGGCTGGACTCGCTCAACGTTTTCACTGTATGCACGTATTGCCTAGATAGTAGAATAAATAGTTCATATAGTTGGCTAGTATGTTTTTGTCTTATCTTCCCTCCAAAATGTTCATTTTCCTCCTTGTGGCAGGGGTGGGATTTGAACTCAGGGTGGCAGGTCATTCCCTTCTGAGTTGTGCTTCCCGCCATGTGGGAGCTGGGTGTTTGCCTTCTGTCCCGTGCATGTCAGGACTGTGATCCCCCCGTCTGAGCCCATGCACCACCCCTCCAGGCCCAGGCTGGCCTCGAACTACGATCCTCCAATCTCACCTTCCCAGTAGCTAGGGTTCCAGATGGGAAGGAAAATGTGGCGCTGTGTGCCGAGACGTAGTGAGCCTTCCTTGGGGACAAAGGGGAACGGCCGTGCGGATGTCCTGAGAACAGCAGCTTGGGCAGGTGCTGTGCTTTGCAGTGTGTCCCCGCTCGCCGGGTGTGTGCTCCCGCGACCCTGACAGCTCGAGCCTGGTTGCGGTGGGGCTGCAGGAGCGGTAGTCCTGCCAGCTCCCGGCGGCTGATTAAACGTTGCAGATGCCCGAGCAGGTCAGGAGCTGCCTGGTGACCCCCGGCCCCGGCCCGGACGGGAGGAACCTTACGACCAAAGAGACTCGTTTGCAGGAGCCTTGAGCCCCGCCGAGCCAGTGGCGGCCTCTTCTCCTTGGAGATGTGGCTTCCCTGTCTGGAGACGTTTGTATCGGGCTCTCCCTGCCGTGCCCGCACCTCGCGCGGCATACGTGTGGGCCTGCCCCCGGGACAGAGCCTGAACGGGCAGAAGAAGGGCTCGCTGCCCTGCCCTCCCCCGCCCGGGCTCCGGGGACGTGGCTTCAGTGTCTCAAGGGGTCGTGGAAGTTCCTTTGTTTGCAATCCTGCCTGTAGAGAGGGGTGTCCGGAAGCATAGCCAGGGGATGGCCCACAACAGCAGGCCGGGGCGCAGGATGCAGGACACAGGACCGAGGACGAACCAACCCGGGCAGCGGCACCGGCTGCCGCCCTGGCTCCCAGAGGCTGCAGACTGGCGAGAGGCCGCCGGCCTTCCAGGGGACCCTGCGCCCGGCAGCCCCGGCCCGCGGCAGTAGCTCCTCGACAGGCAGACATCCGTAGCTAGAACTGAATGTCGTGTTCAAGATTACCATCCATTCATGCCACGCAATACTCATTTTCTATTTACCTTGGGTAATGTGTTTCATTTCGAAACAAGTGAGTAGGATGAGCGGCCATAAATAAAAAGAGGTAATTGACATTTAATTGGTATTTCAGAAATGGGACTGTTCAGCCATTGCCACAATACGATTTCGTGTCGCTCCCATTTCCAGAAAAAAAATCCCTTTTGTACTGAATCCTCATTTCCGCCCCAACTCTAGGCAACCAGTGGTCTCTTTTCTGTCTCTATAATTTTTCTTTCTCTATAACGATGCCAGTGTAGAAATATGCCCGCTATGTCTGTCACCTGGTGTGTACACACACACACACACACACACATAACTGTGGTATATCCGAGCCACAGAATACTATTCAGTGGTGGAAACGAGTGAAGTGGTCATTTATACATGCACTTGGATAATCCTCCCAAGTGTTAGAATGAGCGAAAGGAACTCAACATATGGGATGATTATTTTATGACGGAATCTATCATTTCTAGATCTCACTTGAAATTCTCCAGTGTGTCTCACTGGGACCCAGAAAGTTCTCAGACCCTGCTTTCTGTCCAGGTCCCCAATCACCCTTAAATTGCCCTTCTTACTTTAAATGGAAACCTATCTTCTGGCAAGTTTTTAAAACTTTTTCTACAAGGAACTCTCAACGCCGGTCTAATTGCCTAGTGACCTATTTGTGAGCCCTCTAGCTGGGTGAAGCACCAAACGCTTTTTCCTCCTACTGTCTTACAGAGGCTTGATTCTTTAAAGTAATTCTAACCATGAAATGAGGGTGCTCAGGGTACTTCATCTCTGTCTGGAAGACAGCTCCGGTGCTGCTACCAAGGTAATGAGATGTGGGAACACCTCAGTTCCTCTCCAAGGTCAGGGACCTCCTTCCCAGAGTCTGAATTCTAGAGTTCTCTCGGGCAAGCTGGCTCCTCACTGTGGATAGAATACCGATGTGAGGCAGGTTGCCCTGGGCCGTATCTGTGTGCAGTGGATGGGGGGGGGGGGCTCGTCCTGCAGACGCTTCCTCTCTGCCCAGTCCATCCCGGGCTCTTCCAGGTCTTCTCTGACCAAAGCCACACACACCGTGGTGCTCACAAACTCTCGAGCCAGGTGTGTGCCAGGTGAGGTTCTGACTTCTGCCCGGGGCTGCACCTTGCTTGGTGTGCCACCGGCTCTTGTTGAGGGTACCCAGGACGATGCCCAGGCCGTGCTGCGGATGGGCCGTGATGGCTCGGGGCCACCGGGGAGGCCAGGGGTCACGGGCCAGGGCAGGCAGATACGGCGGTCGGGCTTAGGAAACGGGAGCGTTCCCAGCACCCACGGCTGAGTGGGAATGTGCTTCGGTACCTCGTTGCTGGAAGTCGTGAGGTTTTATAGCGAGAATGGCTGTGATGGTAGCAGATTTCCAGTGTCTTCTCTCCTTCTCTCTCCTTTTCCCTCCCTCCTTTCCACTCTTGCTCCTTCCCTTCCTCCCTACCTTCTTCCTTTTTTAAAATCTCCTTTTCCTTCTGCTTTTGGCAGGACTAGAGTCTGAACTCAGATCCTCATACTCACTAGGCTGGTGCTCTACCACTTGAGCCAGGTCCCCCAGGTGTTGCTTAGTTATTAGCTTTCCTTTTTGCCTTAGTCATTTTTGATTTTGCCTGGGGCAGCCTCTGGCTGAGATCTCCTTGTCTTCACCGGTGTAGATGGCTGGGACTAAAGGCATGTATGAACCACCATGCTCAGTCGGTATGGCATCTCTATATAAACTCAACAGCAAATGAAGTCCGTATCACTGAATTGTAGGGAACACAGCTCTGGGACATGACTGTGGGTGTGGAGTCTTACGGGATTGAAGCGGTGTGTGCCCAAGCCGAGCCTGAAGGGTTGAGAGGAAGGTGCCCGGTGGATCTGCCCACTGAAACCCCAAATCGTAGCGGTTGTTCCCACAGCCCACTAGCCCAGTCCAGCCTGGGATGGGGGTGGTCCCCAAAGACGGGAGCACTGGAGTCGGGGGATGGCTGTCACAGCACCAGCGATGTGT